CCATAAATGCATTATATGTTAATATAAGTAATGTATCTTTGACCAACTAGGCTAAGGCCCAATGATTGGTCCCCAAGCCTTAGGGTTTAAGTGAGACGGAGGTCAAGTTTTGAATTCTGTCATCGTCGTGAATTCCACAAACTTATGATTTAATGATCGTACGCCTCATATGAGAGGGTGGAATGTTTACCATTCTGGGAAATCCCAGTTGCTAATAAACTAACTCTCTTAATTTTTTAATCATTATCCTTGTAAAAAAAAAAAGAAAAATAATGTATCTTTAAACTCGTTTATGCATAAATAAATTTTCATATGCATATAAATTAATATTATATACCTTTATCAGCCAACTCATGAAGGGCCCCTCTCTTCTCCTACATTATATATTTGAATCAGATCATCATAATTGTACTGTTTTAGGCTATGCTATGGGTTTAGACATAAGCGTGTACCTGGTTGTACTATATCATCCAAAAGAAAAAAAAAAAAAGAGAAAGAGAGAGAAAGGTGATAAGGTTGGTGAAAGTCACTTCAACATATGGCAACTAGTTTAACATGTTGCATTGCTGCCTTTGTTTCCACCATTAGGTTCCAGAGATGGGGACTCAATCATTTTATCTCACGTCAAGATAAAATGTAGTAACAATTATTAGTAGCCATTGACGCCTTGCATTCTTCATTTTTTTAGAAAGATGATATATATGTATTTGTTGTGGTACTCTCGGAAGGAGTCGAAAATGTACCCTCCATAACAAATTATATATGGACCCATAATGATAAGTTTCCCGAAAATTCATATCTTCAACAGGGAAGAATTATATTATATATTAATCCATAAGTATATGGAGGATACGTGATTCGACTGACTAGTTTGGAATTTTGTTGAGGCCAAGCATCGCCTCACACATGTCTGATATTATATAATGGTACTACAACTCGGTCACATAAAAGATACCATAACATGATTAATCATGAAAGACATGTAAATTGTTCATATAAAAAACATAACAACCGTCTAAATAAAAAGAAAAACAGAATTAATCATCCGATCACCATATATATTGTACTATACTCATATATACAAATCAAATATTGTTATAATAAAAAATTACAATTTAAACTGTTTTAAATAATAAAATATTAATTTGTTAACAAAAGAGAATCTTTTAATATTGAGGCATTTTTTTATAAAAAAATTTTTATTTTATAATTTAAATTATAAAATAATATTTATTATAATAAATTAAATAAAAATATGTAAAAAATTAATTAATACGGAAAATAAGGTAATTACATGCTTGCACAAATTAAGAATTAAATATGAAACTTCATTCTTTTGGAGTCTTTGCCTTATCAATAATGTTTTATTGATGAAATTTATCACGAGGGTGCCCTTTTTTTTTTTTCAATGGGACTAGATCTAGATGAACTTCGAAATCGATTTAATGAAATTTTCTAATTACTAATTAAGTTAGACATGTACCTCGCGCCTGCGCCTTTACCCGCATCGGTTCAGGCGCGTTAATTTTTTTTTTTTTTTGTAAATATTTAAGTTCTATTTACTGTAATAATTGTTAAATTATTATTATTATTATTTTTTTTAACATATTTGTAAGAGGTGGGATTCAAACCCAATCCGAGAAGTGGGGAATGTACCGGGTGGCTATTGTAATTAGGCCGCAAAGGCCAAGTGCAATTATTTTTTTTTTCTAAATTCACTCATTATCGAAAAAGAGAACAAAAAAGGGTTGGATATGAACGTACTATGTACTTCTTCCGTATCTAAATAATTCA